GAGTTTGTTGTTCAGCTACTGCACAGGATGTCGGCTAGACTAGCCCCCTGTTCAGCATTCCTTGTCTTTGTCCAGTGTGGTGGGTTTGAGGGCTTTTTCAGCTCTTGGCACCAAAAGTTTGAGTGGGTATAAGCAGGTACTAAATGATTAGTAGTTGGACAATTACTGTTTCCATCAGAAAGACTAGTAACTATTGACATAGTAGAGTATTTGAGCAATGACTACATGGAGGAGTGCAGAGACAAGGAATGCCTGATGAAACTCAGGCAAGTGTTGCTCCCAGGAGTAGGTGAGGAGGGAATGGAAATGGTGCAGAGCCTTTCCTTGAAACAAGGGGCCTTGAGTGGCAGGTTACAGTGTGCTGTGGTAGGATGTGGTTGGTTACAGACTGTTACTGCGGGGTGCTGCATTGCAGAGGTACAATGGCGTGTTCTGTGGACTCGCCAGCAGCTTCCCCAGTGCTGGGCCAGGCTGGTGCAGTAAGCACAAAGGCCTGTGAAGCTTCTCCTGCCCTTGGGCCAGGAGCCTGAGCATTGTGCTGTGTGCTGCCCATGTGCAGATCACTGCTGGGTGATTATTGTATTTGTAGTCTGGTTATCAGTGGCATAGCAGCACCCTCACAGATGGATTCATACAGCATGTCGTGCCTTGTGACACAACTGAGGTGCTCTCTCACGCTGTTTTGGTCTTTGATGTGAAGGCTTACATGTGATGGGGTTGAATGTTCTTAAAAAAAACTGCTTCTGAATCTCATACAAATCTGCAGTAATACATCAACATTTGCAGATCCTTTAAAACCTGGATATTTGTTTTGTCCGAGGTGTAGAATTGTACTTGGACATACCTGCAGGAAAATAAATAAATAACTGCACCATAGCATAAGTGATGTTTAGTTACAGTTTTATTTGGTTCTCAGGAAATAATGGTGATTACCTGGCCTAAATTGCTATTTCTAGATTTCTGAGGTTGACTTCCAAGATTCCATTAATGTTTTGGGATTCTCAGATGAATTGAACAAATCCTTGCTCCAGCTGTACCTCGACAACAGGAAAGAGATCAGGAGCATTCTTGGAGAGCTGGCACCAAGGCTTCCCAGCTACCACAGTCTGGAGTGGAGACTGGATGTACAGGTGACTGCTCTGATGTTTTTAGTATTCCATCCTTTCCTTCACATTTTTTTTCCATAATTAAAACCTACTAAACAATCTAAAAACAATTGAGGCAGCAGTACTTCATGTATTTAAAAGTGGCATGACTTTGTTAGTGTCCCACAGACAGCCAGCTGTGAAATGAACAAGATATGCAATGATGCAAAGCACTTGTTGCCTGATGAAAATTGAATTCATGGTTCTATTATGTTTTTAAAATATTAACATATACTAAACATATTTGGTCTAGATTATTACCTTATTTTCAGAAATATTATGAAAGCATAGATTAAAGCGGGTTAGTATTAATTATAAAACACAATAGTAGCTTGTGTGTATCTTTAATGTGGATGCAAAGGGTTTCTGAACATTAGTGTGAACAGGTTCTACAAAGCTCTTGAGAACTGTTAAGAACAAACTTTGATAACCAATGGTCATTTTTGTGTTCCTGTTCCACGGAACCCCTACTGCAGCTTGCAAGCAGAAGTTTGAGACAGCAGATCAAGCCTGCTGTGACTATGAAGCTACATCTTACTCAAAATGAAGATCAAACTGCCCAGGTGTTGCAAACTGACCCTGCTACCCTTCTTCACCTTATCCAGCAGCTGGAGCAGGCGTTGGGGGAGATGAAGATGAACCACTGCAGAAGAATAGTGCGCAACATGAAATAACCTTGGTTCTCCTCTGCTGTCTTGCTAAGCAGTTTGTAAAACAACTCAAAACACTGCTCACAAATACATTTTGAGGAAAAATAAACATCTGGATCAGATGAACTGTTTTCCTGTGCCAGGACCTTGAGCCAGTATATACTGGCCAAATATCCTTGGCCGCCAGCTTCACACATCTATATGTGGTGACCTTTTTCACACGATCATCTTCATATATAGGACATGGTAATTAAATGTGATCAAATATTACTACTTGGGATTTTTGACTGGTATTTTTTATGTAATTGATCTCTGTTTTCAGGTGAAACACAAGATTAGCCAATACATAGGTGAGTGGTTTCCCTCATTCTATCTCTCCTCACTACAGCCATAGTCTGGAACTCAGGGCAGCAAAGCAGAAGGTTTAGATAGAGATCTTTGAAACTTTTTGTGTCATCTCACTATTGCCTGATGAATCTAAACACATTTGCCTTTTTCTCTTGTAAACATTTAAAAAAATCCAGCTGCTCTAGAGCTGATTGGCATCACAGTCTACACGTGGGTCATATCCTGAAGCATGTGCTAACTGAGAAGGGGGAGGGTTTTCCTTGGGGATTCTGAGTAAAATAAATTATTCAGATGAACACAAAATCTCTGTACTATTCAAAAACATTTGAACATCATGGGAAATTGAGATAAAATAATGTTATTGACTTATTTTTTTACAATGTAAAGTCTTGCAATGAGAACAAAGAAATAATGATAAGGAGCTTTCTACATCATACTTGTAATTTGGTTCCTTTATCACTTAATGCAACCCCATTGTGATGGAAATGTCCTTGTCTTCCACAGACTTGAGCATATTGAGTCACTTGCCCTGAAAGCTGGTGGGCATATTTTTTTGTCCAAAGAAGGTAGTTAGTATTTCTAAACAAAGACTAATGACAACAATACTATGAAAATTTATTCTTACAGTTTTAATCATTTTCAAATTATTGGAGAAAAATCCTTTAGCCTATACCAAGTGGTACAATAGCAGATAATTGTATTATTCAGTAAAAAAGTGCAGCTGAAACACATCTTGTTGAAGAAGACAGTTCTAACTGTAATAAATGTGGCTTACGTTTGGGACAGATGTGTATGTACTCACCCATGAGATGCCATGCTTATGAAAGTGGTCTAATTACAGAGATGAGATGGCCCCATGCATGAGACTGTCAAAGCCTTCCCTTGAATGGACATGTCACCTGGGAAGGAACGGAACAGGTGTGTGGTTTGTCTTTACTCAAAGAAACAGAGCCCTGGAAGCAACAAAAGCCCTTTTAAAGGCTGTATGAAAAATCACTCGTGTTCAGATCATTATCTGTGCAATAACCACAGGCACACATACCCAGAATCTCATATGCAAAGGATTGAAATAGGAATATTGCAGGAAAGAAAAAATGATATGTGATGTCTGCATATACCTGGAGCAGGTACTGTGATTAGCACTGCTCTTTGAGCTTGTTGCAGCAAGGAACCAGTACGGAGTAGTAGAAGAAAGGTACAAAAATTCTTTGGGAAGTGAAACATAAGTCTCAGGAGTACTGGGTTTCCTGACCAGAAACACAGCAGATGTCAGGAAAAATAGAAAAAAAAAAAAAAAAGAAAACCCCTCAAAGCAACAAAACCGCCAGACCCTCACAAAAACAAAGAACAATAAAACAAATCTTGAGATCTGCTAAGCCAATGGAAATGTGAACAGGAAATGTGACGAAATGTAACTGACAAGGAATATTTGTTGAAGTAAAGCCATCAGGAAATGCACAGGATCTGTTTCACAGACCTAGCTGTGGTTTGTGTACAGGTTTAAACTCCAACTCTGAGAATCTACATAATCAACATTATATGTAACATTCATTTGAGGGACAAGGATGGTTCAGTCAGGCCCACATTTTCCACTAGAGAAGCCAAATGCAACTTTAGAGAAGTTCGTGCTTATTTTAAAGAAATAAGGAATAAAGTTCAGAAAAACATTATTTAAGACTTTTCTTCTAGTGTAGATTCTGATTACTGAGGGGGGTGTATTCTTATCAATCAGCATAGCCTGGAGTCTGTCCAAAACACATAACAAATGCATTGCTAAAATACAGTTGTGTTCATTTAGCCAATGTGTGATATCTCTATGTGTGTAGCCATAAAAACACTGGATGCTTCCCTCTGTAGAAACCAACACTTAAGTGTTGGAACGTGAACAATATTATTCTTTATATACGCAGCTTCTGAATTTAGACAATTTTCAGTCACATTGCTATGCAAAAGTTATTCCAAACGCTCCAAACAATGAGACAAGATTAAAACAACAATTGTATTTATTAATTATAGAAAACCTCAGGTATGCACTTTGATGACAGCTGTCATGTCTAGTACAGGCTAAATCAAAGACAAATGACTGAATGGGCAGTCAGCAGAGATCCACAATACATCGTGCCTGCATTTGAAACTACCCTGTGGACGGTGAGCTGGAAGGACGTAACATACAGCTCTGCACAGGACTCCTACTTGCCAGCAAAAGGCCAAACCTTATTTGTGTATGTCACTACAAATGCTTAATTCCTCCCCATAGCTATAGCATCACTAAATCGCGCAATTCAACTTGTACGTGAACTAATTTAAGCATCATTTTGCTTTCAGAAATTAGTATCGCCCATTAACTTTCTGAACAACGGTTTTGGAGCAAAGCTCCCTAGCTGGGCAGAGACAGAGCGCTCCGAAGGCTGCCCGGGCCGAGCCCAGCCCGGAGCCGAGCGCAGCCGATGGGTGCCCCGATGGGTGCTGCGAGCGGCACGGCGAGCGCGACGCGAGAGGGGGCGCGGGCGGGGCGGGCCGCCATGGCCTCCGGGGCCGGCCCGTGCCCAAAGTTTCCGCGGCGGTTGCATAACTGCGGGCGGGGCGGCGCGGGGGCCGGGCTGGAGCTGTCGGCACTGCCCCGTCCCGGCCCGGCACGGCCCCGGCCCGCCGCTGCCCGGCCGCCCCGCCCGCCCGGGACACCGGCGCGGCTGGCGGGGGCGCAGAGGCTCCGTCCGCCCGCCGAGCCCGCCCTGCTCCCGCCGAGCCCGCCCGCCCCTCAGGGCACCTCCTCAGCGGCGGCCCGGCAGCGGGGCCGGCCCCGGCCACCGCCCGTCCCGGGACGGCTGCGCCCGCCGCCGGGCCAGAGGGGCGCACGATGAACCCCGCGGCCCCGCCGCCGGGCCAGCAGGTCATCCACGTCACGCAGGACCTGGACACGGAGCTGGAGGCGCTTTTCAACGCGGTGATGAACCCCAGGCCCAGCTCCTGGCGGAAGAAGATCCTGCCCGAGTCCTTCTTCAGGGAGCCCGACTCGGGCTCGCACTCGCGGCAGTCGAGCACGGACTCGGGCGGGCCCGCGCCGCGCCTGCCGCCCGTGCACGTCCGCTCGCACTCGTCGCCCGCCTCGCTGCCGGGCGCGGGCGCGGCGCCGCAGCACGGGCACCTCCGGCAGCGCTCCTGCGATGTCACGGACGAGCGGCCGCTGCCGCCGGGCTGGGAGATGGCGCTCACGCAGACCGGGCAGCGCTACTTCCTCAAGTGAGTGCGGCGGGGAAGCGGCCGGGGCATCGCGGGGCATCGCGGGCTGCGCCGGAGGGCGGCGGGGTGGCCTCGGCTCCGGGCTGTGTGCGGCGTTCCGGGGGGAAATCCCTTCCCGGCGGGAGGAGAGAGGCAGGGAGATGTCCTGCCGTATTTGTTGATAACGAATTTCTTTCCTTGGCCACTCGTCCGAGATTCTGAAACTTAACTTTTGTGAGAAAAAGTTGAAAGCCAGTTATTTCAGGGAGTTTCTGGGACGTGGGCGCAGAGCTCTGCGTGCCCGTGACCTGCCGGAGGTGGAAGGGGCTGTGCACGGGTGGGAGTTGCCCGGCCCGGCCCCGGCCGCTGTGTCCGAAGCATCCCCGTCCGCGGGGACGCGCAGGAGCCGCCTTGTTCAGCGGCGGGCTTTGGGAAGTGCGGTAACACAACTGCCGACATCTCTTCTGGCCAGGCATTTTCGCCAGAGCGTTTTATTTACGACAATTGACGCTTGATTGAAAGCCGTTTAATAGGCCTGAAAATACGTAATAGCTGTAGTAAGTGGTAAGGCAGCAGTGCCTTATTTTGGTAGATTCTGTAAGTCAGCCACAGACTCATTGCAAACTAAGTAATACTGCATTAACTTGGTAAATAAGATAAAATGTTTGCTAATGAAATAAAACATTTACTGATGAAGCATCTACCTGAGGATATTGAGGGAGTTAAACTGCCGGGGCTCCAGGACGTCATTTACTTGCTCACAACAGCCTTCTTGTTCAGAAGGGTAAAATCTTGAGTTCACATATGTTCACCCATGTGTGGGTATTCAGCCCTCATAAATGTCATAGAAACAGTGTGTGAGGGGAAAAAGAGACAAAGCTGTTTAAAAAAGTGAAAAAAAAAATTACTTGATTGTATAATGATTTCTTTGCCTTGTGAGTTTGGAATCTCTAGCGGATTACTCAAGAGCCCAGTCTCTGAATAACTCTGCAGAGTTTAGATTTTTGCCTTTTGTCACACTCTGAGCTAACAGCAAAGTGTGTAAATACTTTTCTGTATGTCGCTGTACGTTGTTTATGATACTGTGTGCATATGTCCCAGGGTCCAAACTTAGAAGTTTGTTATTAATCTGGTTTATCACCTAAATGAGAAGATCTCATGTCCCTGCACTTTGCAGGTATTTTTCTCAATAGAACAAGCTACAGAGAAGAAGCTGACTGACGGGAGCAGTGTAACAGACCATTCATAAATAATTATTCAATAGAAATTCTTGCTAGGGTTTGGCTAGGGAGTGTTTTCAGATACCTCTGGCTAAAAATTGCATAATATAATCTTTGTATGCTCTGTGTCTTTTGACTAATATCAAAATGAGCTCATGTGGTTTCACCTTCCTGTCATGCATTTCTGACCTAGAGACAAAGTTTTCCAAGTCAATGGATTCTTGTTGCTTAGGCCAAAAATAAAAGGCCTTTAGTAAATGGAAAGCATAGGTAAAAGACTCCAAGTGGTTTTATTTTTTTTCCAAATCCTGTCAATAGTAACACTCTGATTAATAACATCCTTTTAAATATAAAATATAATATGCATTGTGCATGTAATTTCTTACCTAAGTTAATATTTGTTTTATTTCCCCAGTTTTATCTGTCCAGTAGAACTTCTCTCATTTATATAAAAATTAATTGGAATAATGCATTTCTTTGTACCTTTAGTGTATTTTGTTATACCCCAATGCTTTGGGGAGTGGTATTTAGCTATAAAATGCTCTCATGTGAATGATAGTATTTAACAAGTGGTGTAATATTCTTCAGGTGAAAATACAATTTAAGATTGATTATGGGAAGCAGCATTTAAAGCTGTGTGCAATAAAATAATAGGTGATGTGCTGAAAGTCATATTTGATTAAACTAGGCATACAAAGTTACATTTTCCTATATTCCTATACTCAAGGAAAAAAAAAAAGCCATTGCTTTCCAGCATAATGATAAAGACTTGTTTCTTGGCATTAGCAAAAAAAAAAATTGAGTAACCAATTAAAAGTAAATAGACATAATAGGTCCTATTAAAGCCTTTATTATCTGTTGAAGTTTAGAATGCAATTTGTTGTATTAAAACACATCTTAAATAATTATTTAACAGAAGTACTAGTGTGAGTTTCAATGAACAGTGAGCTAACCTTGTTGATGGGGAGCCAGCTACAACTTGGAGCGGTTGCAGTCCTGCATGTCAGTTCCTGCAGAAATTTTCTGGCTGTGACTGGAAGAAACATAAGTAGCCTGGGGACCACTCCACCCTGTAATTAAATACCAAACCACATAAGTGGGGGCTGGAAAACAGGCTAATGAACGCACACTTGCAGCAATGTTATCTAAAGCATTTTTCTGTGTGAGCATGTGTGGAAAAAAATGTAAGTGTGATTTATTTGTGATAAAAAGCATTTCTGTGGAGACTAGCCCTCTGCCTGCTGTTAGGCCGTGAGCAGGGAATGTCAGTTGCATGTTGAACTACATGCTGGGCCATGTACACATATTCTGTAAAAAGAATGTTTCAAGTATTACTTTATACCAACTTAGTTTGGGTGGCGCAGCCTCATATTTCAAATGAAGACTGAGGGTTTCATATTTTCTCAATGTGTGTAGGGATCTTCTTGGTCAGACTCTCATAAACAGATTTGTGAAACTTTTGCCACTGTTATCTTTATCACTGTTATTTTTAAAATGTTACAGTAAACATTTGCCATATCAGGACGTATTTGCCAGAAAGTTCTGCTCAGGGATAAGGAAGCTAATTACTTACAATATTTCATTTGCTCAAAATGTTCAGATTTTTTTTACTGGTTTCTGTTGGAATAGAACTTGATTTAACACAGGATCAGTTTAATACAACTAAGTGTGTTCAACAGGACAGCAGAAGAGTAACATAAATAATATAAATACTATAAAAAGTAATACAAGTACAATGAAAAACTTTTTTCCTGAGAATGGCAAAGCAAATAGTACTAAGATAGCTGAACTGCTGAAGTGATTTTCTAATATGGTCTTTCCTTGAAAAGCATTTCTGTTAATTCTGTGGAGACCGTTGTTATTTTACATTGGTAATTTACATTGTGCTCGGTCCTGTACAGCATTTGTCATAGAGAAGGAGGCCGTGCATCCCTGCTGGCTTTGGCCTTGGGCAGCAGAGAGAGACATTTCACACATTCATGGCGCTTTTGGAGCATTTAGTCCACACCTTAAGTGATTTTTTTTTTGTTCCCTGTTTCCAGTGGGGCTTGGAGCCTGAACTCTTCCCCTTGCCATTATTCCTTTATTAAAAATAAATTGTAATCTGCTAGACAGTATCAGGATGTATTATTGCCAATGGCTTTTATCCAAAATTGAGTGCATTAAAGATTTCTTAACAGGCAAGAAGCTGTGATGCACCACTGAAGTTTATTTGTCAGAAATTCAACCATAGCTCACATTTATAACTCATTTTAGAGACACTTAAGAAGTTCTGAGATTGGAATGCACACATCAAAACTGAATTTTCAGCCTGTAATTGACAGCAGTAGGGGTCTGTTTGATTGCTCCTCAAGTGCTGATTTAATGATGATGATGTTGGAGTTCCATTTAAAAACTACCAAGGATCCATGAGCTGCTCCTCTCTGAATCTGGCAGTAGAACCAGCTACAGAGTTTCTGACAAAGGCTGGTATTTATTCATTTTCTGGTCTGAGATGGTGTCTTTCCGTGATGAACAGACTGTTTTATTCAGAATCTAAAAATCATGTCATCAGTGCTGCTTTAAAGGATTTGGTGGTTAATGTGGAGCTTAATAAAATCTGAGGACTGAAGCAGATATGGAATAAAATTGCTTCAGGGACGCATTTGATTTGCAGGATGTGATCCAGTTCCCCCTCCTGTTGAGTTATCTGAGTTAGGATACAAGCTACATTTTGTATCCTAAAGTATCAGTGAAACATCAGTGAAGAAATCTTAAGCAAGACTGCACTGACCCTAGAAGTATTTACAAGAAGAATTTCCTTTGAGGAAATATTTAAGAAAATTCTTGTAAAGGGCTGTCTAGAAGCAGAATTTGAATTTTGCTGTATGCATTTCTAAATTACTTAAGGAATCAGTGGTAGCTGTCCTGTACAAACTACTGTGTTGATGTAGAATTTCATATATTGGACTTATGTACAATTTTAAGATAAAGAATCGATAATGTGCGCATGGAATTATTGGTTTAATGAAATTTGTCTTAAGCTAGTCCTTAGTCATAGTGTTAAACCCAAAGTCCTTGAGTACTTGTGCATTAATGGATAATAACTGTCATACATTAATCTCATTAGATGAGCTGAAAATACAATTGCTTTATGCATTAATGATTAGGAAGTAGTAACAATTAGCATATTCTTGAAAGATATCTATAGAATTGATGCAGGTGTTAATTACGAATGCTACCATGAAAACTAGACCTTTTCTCTGATCCCAGCTGAACGGGTTTTGTCTTTACAAATGGTTTGGGTTGCGCAAAGAAAGAAAATGAATAGTAGGTTTATTTTTATCACGTTTGTGAGCTGCTATAGTCAATATCTAAAAGCTGGTCTGCCTGACCATCTTTACTCCATAATTAGTGAATGACAGTGTGGAGAAATGTCTGCTTCTGAAGGTTATGGATGTGTTCAATTTTAAATAGGCTTGACAATATAGAATCTGTAAAGTCTTACTTTCAAGATTTTTGCTGCTCACTCCTTCAGATAGTGTTGGAAGAGTCCGTGGTTGGGCTTTGGCTTGTTTCCTTTTGGATGCTTTGGCTGAAGTTGAGCATTCTGTCTTTTTGATGTCTATTGGGCCTATTGCAGGGCAAGAGCTTCTTTGTCACAGTGCTTGGTGCTCCGGGGCCTTGCTTGATTGGGAGATACAAATTGTATCAAAGCAATTAAATCCAAAGGAAATGTCATGTAGGCTGAATTTCAACGTAAAGACTGGTGGCATTTTCCCTCTTCATTTAGGGAGAGAGAGGTCAGCATGATGTAGGGTG